CTGAGACGCCCGGCCTGCAGGGGCCCGGCGCAGGGGGCTGACCGTAGCAGCCTCAACCTGCCCACCTCCAGGCCACAAGGCTGCAGGCACACCAGGTGTGTGTACATGTGTGTGAGTACCTGTGTGTGTGTACACATGTGTGTACATGTGTGTTTGTCAGCACCGTGTTAGTATGTGTGCACATGTATGTGTGTGTTTCTGAGTGCCTTGTGTGTGAACTTGTATGTATGTGTGTGCATGTATGTGTAGGGTGTGTGCATATGTGTACATGTGTGCATATTTGTGATTACCATGTGTGGGCTTGGATGTGTGTGTACAAGTGTGTTTGTAAGTGCATTGTGTGTGAGCTCGTATGCACGTGTGTGAAAGTAGGGAAACAGCTGTGCCACATACACATGCCCCCCAAGGCCAGCCGAGGGACAGATGGCTTCTGGAACTAAAGGAGGAATTCCCAAGAGGGAGGGCTGGTCACCGCTGCAGCCAGAGGGTGACTGTGGGGCACGAAAGTCCCCATAAGAGGAGCCCAAGTCTACCCACAGAGACCGCTTGTGAGCACACTTACACGTGTGACAATACGTGTTACACGTGTTCATGCTATAACACACTTCCTACAGAGTGTACATCTGCATGCACGTACCACCCGTACACGTGGACATGAAGGGGGCTCACACCCCTCTCCAGCAAACTGTCACCCAGGCCCTCTGCTCCCAACCAAGCGGCGTACGTTCTTCAAATCTAGTCCACGATGTACTTTGTGGATTTATGCCCAATGCCCTGTGTGTAACTATGGAACACGTGTTTAATCAACAGGACCACGTGTGTACACGCACACACACACGCGTGTGTGCACAGGCACGCGCGTCAGCAGTGTGGCACTGCAGAGACACCGTGTCTTCACCTTCTCCAGGCAGGGCTGGCACTCGGCCAGGAGGGGACGAGCTGGCGCCACTGTGCCCTCCACTCCTGGTGCCCACACAGCACCAAGCGTGCACACAGGCGGGACCCCAACACAGGCCCTGGACACACAGACGGAGGCCACGCAAGGCTGTGCTGAGCCTTGTCACGTCTGGGACCAGTTCTCCGTGTTCTAAGTTTCTCAGCCGCCAGACCCTCAGCGATGAGCCCCTGTTACGGTCACTGTGTGTTTAGATCCTCTGTCGCGCAGGAAACAGAGTCGATGACGATGCAGGAGGCCCCTTCTCCACGGCCGTTCACATACTCCTGACTCTCAGCCAGTGCGCGGGGGCCAGGGCACCCTGGCCAGGCCCCAGGCCCGGAGCCCCGCAGCCCATAGCGAGCCTGGGTGCAGCCAGGCGGGAAGCTTCCAGAGCACTCGGGCCCCCACCTCTGGGCCCTCTGCCCTCTGAGATCAGACTATGAAGGTGCAGCGGGTGCAGCCTGGGGCCCGAGAACCACCCAGAAGAGCCACCCCGCTGTCCAAGCTTCGTGTGGGTCTCCTGTGCCCTCACCACAAAGGGTGGGCGCCCCCAGGCCCTGCCCCGCTGACCCCTCCAGGACCAAGACACGGGGACAGGACCACAGGCTGTGATTCTCTGCATTTGACAAATGCTTCCAACGGGCTCACACCTGCAACCGAGCTGTGTCAGCCCCAAGTTCCCAGGCCGTCTCTCTAAACACACGGAGGGAGGCAACAGCCATATTGACACTGTGCCACTGCTAACCGCGTGGGGACTGCAGCCCCACGGTCAGCGCACAGCGCACGGCGATTCGCAGGGGGCCACGCGGGGGCTGACGGCTGCCACGTGCCCCTCACCAGTCAGGGCTCCCCGAAGGACGCTCCACTTCCAGGAACACTAGCTAAGCAAGCAAACGAAAGTTGAGTCCTGTCTGCTCCCTCAGCCATCAGCCCTGAGCCGCAGGGCCACTCAGAGAGCAGGTCTGGGGGCCGGTCCTGCCAGGGTGGCCAGACGCGCACGCTCATGCCCGACGTGTCCCCGCGGACCCTGCACAGGCAGCGGCCAGCCTGTTCGCAGCTGGTGCTCTCCTGTGCCACCCGAGGGCTACAGACAGGCTGGAACCCCAAGCCCACACTTGCAGGAAAAGGCCGGGAGCGGCCCTCCCATCTGGCCTTGCAGCCTGGTCTGCTCCCCTGTCCCAAAGCCCCACACCCTGGCTGCCAGGGGCACCCCGCCCCCTGCTCTGGCTGCGCCTTCATTCTCCCTGGTGCCGTAGGCTCTGACGAAAGCCGCCAACCTGCCCAGTGCGGTGCCCGCGGAGTGACGGACAGACTGGGAGAGAAAAACAGCATCGAGTCGCTGGTGAGGGCGGTGGAAATAATTCCAGCTGTTCCCTTAACTCCGCACTCTGAGGCCGAGCACAGCGAAGGAGACGAGAGAATGGCTCCCTCTGCCCTCTCCTCACACGTGTGCTCTGCTCTCCACTCCGGCGGTCTGCCATCAGGCCCCGGGACGCCGCCCCCACTCCGGGGTCCTCGCACACGGCGTCTGCTTCACCGCGCAGGACGGGGCTCCGGCGTGCCGGGGACAGTCGGGGTGTCCCGAGGGGCGCGAGGGAAGGTGCACGCCCCGCCCGCGGCCCCACACCCCAGCGTGGCGGGGCCCGTCATGGCAGGCGGGCCTCTGGTCACAAAGACGGCACCAGCCAAGGCCGCAATTAGGGACCACAATGCGCCGCCTCCTAGTTCAGCACCCTATTCATCCTCCTGAACACCGGGCGACAGGCTGGCCGGAGGGGGATGGATTAGCCAGCGGCTGATCTGTATCTCCACACAAAGGGCGGAGTGTGTACAAACGGCTCCCTGTGTCCCCCATTCTTTACCCCTGAACAGACCAGATTCCCGGGAACGGCGATTTAAACAGCTCCTTCCCACTCACCACAGACAACAAGTCACAATTGTCCGCTGCCCGCCTCACTGCCCCTCCCTCCCGCTGGCCAGCAGCCCTGGAAGAGAGTGGCCTGGAGCCTGCAGCCTGCAGCCCAAGGCCGCTGGGAAGCAGGGGCGGCCCCCACCCTCCCTGAGGCCGGCCCGGGGCTCCTGCCCCCCAGGGGCCGAAAGCGTCCTTGCTGAGAAGACAGGGTGCCGCTGCAGTCCTGGCCCGGCAGGGAGGTGGCCGAGGGCCTCCATCCCCGCAGAGCAAATGTAGACATTCAGGGCGGATATGGGCGTCCGAGGACCCTCGAGGGCTGTGGGGGCAGGTGCTGGGCCTCCCCTGGGTGGGGCCGGAGACACTGTGCCTTTGAGCACACCTGCTGTCGGCCCCGCCTTTGGTGCCTACCCCGTGCTCCGGCCCGCGCGTGTCCGCTTCAGGAAGATGTGGATTCTTCGAAGGGCTCTCCCCTCCCCATCCGCACAAAGGCTCCTGTCCACGAGCACGGCTGTTCTCTCACACACTGACCTGCCCACACCTGCCGTCCTCGCCTCCAGAGACAGACATCCTTCCTGTTGACCAAGCTCCCCATCCTAAGACGCGGGGCTGGGGGACGGCAGTGCCCCCGAAGACACCAGGGCCGGCCCGTCCCCACGGGCGAGCGCCAAGGCAGCATGCCGCCGCCGGCCATCGGAGCTGTGCTCCTGGACCGAATCACAGCTCTGAAACCAGGGACGAGTCCCCCCACGGCCGCAGAGCCCCACACGCCCGCACACTGACCTTAGAATCACGGAACTTTACGTGCATCCCCTTTCCAAGGTAAACCCCCGAAAGAGAAAGGTCAGGGAGAAGGGTGAGACACTGCCCCAAAGGAGCCCCAGCCGCAAAGGGATCCCTGGCCACTGGGTGGGTCGAGGCTCCCTGGGCACCGGGGAAGACAGCCCTCCGGGGACTTGCCAGCCCCAGACCTCCGACCCACAGAACCACTGTCCTGGAGCAGGTCAGTAAACCAGCGCGGGGGGTGGCTGGGAACTGGGTCCAACTTCAGGAAGGCTGGTCAGTCCCGGTACAGAGCAGGCAGGCAGGCCTGTGGCAAAGCCGGGAAGCACCTCTCCCTTCAAGGCCTGGACTCGATCCAGGGAGGGAGACGCTCCGAGCTCACAGATCACAGAGCAGGTGAGAAGGCTTGGGCCTCCCACACCTGCCCGCTCCCCGGGAAGCCAGCAGTTCATTAATTAGGAGGGAAGCAGCTGCCCGCTGCCAACCCTTCCGTTGTGGGCACCCAGAGCTAATGAGGGTCTGCCCACATTGCCAGTCACACCAGCTCCCTTCTGTGGCCTGGCAGGGAGGGGGGCACAGCACCAGGCAGCGCTGGTGGCAGGGTGCCTCAGGGCAAGGGCACGCCAGCCGTGGGCAGAGCGAGCCTGGGCTGCCGGCCTGCCTGAGCCCTGTGTGCACCAGGAGAGCCCCACTCCGGGGACCACGAAGTTTCCAGAAGTGCCCAGGGAACTGGAGTGACCACCAACCACACCAGCCCCTGCCACCCTTGCCCTGGGCCCTGGGTACAGGGCTTCCCGGTCCCAGAGACACCTCCAGCTGCCAGGGTCTGACCATCAACATGTGTGCCTCAAGCAAGTCTCAAAAGCAGGATCTGAGCCCTGGGCTCTGGCAGGCGCCGGGAGGCCGGGAGAACTGAGCGCGGGGCCCTGGCGCTCAGACGAAGTCCCTGCTCGCCGAACCCACGGGTCTCCAACCGGGTCCCGAAGGCAGCGCGGGAGCGGGGTGCAGGCGCTCAGGCCTCGCCCTGGGCTCCCGCCGGCCCTCAGCCCTGCGCCCAGCCTGTCACCGTGGAGTGCTGGTGCCATCTACCGAGGCCCGCGGAGAACGCGGCTGACGACCGGCCGTGCGGGGCAGGGGACGGGCGCAGGAGCCTGGCGTGGGCCCGGGCTCCCGGAGGTGCAAGCACCACCGAGACCGCCGCCGCCGGCCGAGCCCTTGGGGCGCCGCGAACGCCGGTGTGCGCGGGTCCGCCACCGGCCACACTCCCGCCCCGCAGTGGCGCTCGGCGAGCCCGGGCCACGCGCGGCGGCAGGGGCGGCGGAACATGCTGGAAGCCCGGCCGAACGCAGGGACGGCGCCGGGGACCATTACCTTCCTTCAGGAACTGCGCGTGGATCACCAGGACGAGGAAGCAGCAGAGCGCGGCCCCAGCGAGTGCCCACAGCGCCTTCAGGAGCTGCATCGCGGAGAGCCCTCTCGGCCGACGCCCCCGAAGTCGCGCAGCTCAGGTCCAGGCGCCGCATCAGCGCCCCTCCAGGAGCAGCCTCCGCGGCCGCCCGCTTGCGCCCTCCATCCGCCGCTGGCGTCGCGTTCCGCCGCGACTAGAGGCGCCCCTCCAGGCGGCGATCCGCGTCTTTTTGGGCAAGGGGGAGGGGAGCCGGGGGGGTGCGGGGAGGGGGCGGGCAGGGGCAGGGAGGTTAGCAAAAAGTCTCGGGCCGCGGCGGCCGCCGCTCCGGCCACTCGGCCACCATCGCGGGCTGCGGGGCGCCGGGGGCCCGGGCGCGGGGGGGTGGCCGCCGCGGCCCCATGAATCAGCCCCGCCGCCGCGCTCGGTACCGCGCCGCCGGCAGGGCCCGGACGGCGAGCCACGGACTGCGCAACGGTCCGGGCACTGGGGGGGTTCCTGCGCGGCCCCGGCCTTCCGCCTCCTGCCGCCCGCCTCCCGCCGCTGCTTGGCGGCGCCTTTCTCTCCTCCTCCGCCTCCTCCTCCTCCTCCTCCTCCGCCGCCGCCGCCGCCGCCGCCCGCGCTCGCTTCGGCCCGGGGCTCAAGGGGCCGCCGCGCCGCCACCACCTCCGCGGAGGGCCGGGCTCGGGGCCGGGGCTGCGCGCAGGGCGCGGGGATGCAGCACCATCGCCGCCGCCGGGGCCCGCGCGGCCCGGCCGAGCTTGCGGCGACCGAACTTGCGCGGCTCGGAGCTGGCGGGCCGGTGCCCCCCCGGGACGGTGCCGGCCTCCGCGCTCCCCGGAGCCCGCGCCTCCGCCGCTGCCGCCGGACGAGGCCCGGGCCGGCGCTCCTGCCGGCCCTGCCGGCGCCGGAGTCGGTGTCGGTGGTGGCTGCGGTGGCGGGGCGGTTGCGCCGACAGGTGGGGCCGGCGACGCTGTGCGACTGGCCGCCCGCGGGACGCGATGCTCCGACCCGGGGACGCGCGCTCGCCGCTCTCCCGGCTCTTCCGCTTCTGGGGAGGCGTCGGGAGGGCGCAGGGACCAGGCCCGAGCGGCGATCGGACTCCGGCCCGCCGCCGTCTGCGCTCCGCCCGGCTGCCGATGCGCACTGGGCCGCGGAGGGGACCCGGGGGATCCCCGCCGCCCTGCAGCGCCCCCGCCTGGCGCGCCGGCGGGTCAGGCGGGGCCAGTCCAGCCGAAAACCGCGGGTCGGGCTCCACCTAGGTGCGCAGGGGCCTCACTGCAGAGCGGCCGCGCGGGTGGGGGAGTAGAGCGAGGGAGGCCTCCAGTGCGCCCAGCCCCCTCGCACCCCATGGTCCCCGGAGAGTCGGGGCATCACGCCCAGGCATCGCCACTGCCCAGGGCTGCCCCGCGGAGGCTCCTCCGACTGGGAGCACACACACCACATCCGGCCCCAGCGTGCGCCGTCCTCCAGCCAGGGCACCAGCGCACATCCGGCACAGTGAGTGCCAGGAGCCGGCTCCCGCGAAACAGCCTGTGCCCCTGCCTGGGCCTCAGTTTCTAAGAGGGGCCAGCCTCCGTTTCTGACCCTTGTCCTCCCGGTCCCCGCCCCCGAGCAGGCTGTGTCCAGGTCCCAGGGCCTGGGAGCAGTGTCATCGGCCTGAAGCCATTGTCAGGGCTGAATTTCAGATTCAATGTCGAATGCCCAGCAGAGTTTCAGACGGGGCTCAGGGAAGGCCTCCACCTGAACCTGGCCCCCACCTGCGTGGGAAGGGTGGGTCAAGGTGTCCTGCCCAGTGCTTGTGAAAGTGGGCAAACGGGTGAGCACAGACCTCACACTGAAGCTGCTCCCTTCCCGCAGTTATGGGCCAGACCTGGAAGGGCTCCTAGAGGTCAGACAGGTCAAAACCCTCAGTGTACATTTGGGGAAACTGAGGCCTGCATAAGCATGGGTGCTCCTCCAGACTCCAGCAATAAAGGGCTTCCCTTAGCGCCAGCCTGCTCTGTCCCTGGTCAGGAGGGAGGCCACCTGAGAGCCCCTCCAGGGGCATCTTCTAAGATGGGAATGCGGGGTGCAGGCCCTCCCCTGGAGAGGCAGCCTCAGGAATGCGGGGTACAGGCCCTCCCCTGGAGAGGCAGCCTCAGGAATGCAGGGTGCAGACCCGCCGCTGCAGAAGCGGCCTCAGGAATGTGGGGTGCAGGCTCTCCCCTGGAGAAGTGGCCCCAGGAATGTGGGGTGCAGGCTCTCCCCTGCAGAAGCAGCCCCAGGAATGCGGGTACAGGCCATCCCCAGGAAGTAGCTTCAGGAATGCGGGGTGCAGGCCCTCCCCTGGAGAAGCAGCCCCAACCTCAGGCAGGCCAAACAAGTCAGGATCTGGCTTGGGAGGGGCTAAGATCTCACCGCTGGGCCACCCCCTCCCAGAACCCCTTTTCCTGTGAGCTCCTCTGCCTTCAGCCCTAGCATTTTCCAGGAAAGCTCTGGCTGTGGTGACCCTGGGAGCCACCCTGCCTGGCGCAGAGCCTGACCTCCACCAAGGTCGCGGCCTTTGCCCCTCACCTGCCGCCCCGCTCAGCACTCGGGTCTGCGGGGCCACGAGGATGCCGGTGACACACGCACACCCAGGACCCCAAAGGAGCCCAATCAAGGAACAAAGCCTCCCTCTGACATCGCTGTGTCCCCAATCAAGTGCATATTATTTGAAATTTTGAAAATTGAAAAGTAGTCTCAATCACCACTGGAACTTTCAAAATGTAACCATTTGGGGGGAGCGGGTATGAAGAGAATTGAAGGAGAGAAATTTCCAAAGCATGGTCTGCATTTTTCTCCCCAAGTGGGGCTGGAGGAGCCTGTGCTGCATGTGGGGGCAGAGACCCCTCTGGGCACGGGGCACCAGCACTGCTACCAGCGAGTGTGCATGGCGTCGCTGTGCCCTTAGAAGAGCCGGGGCCGGGGGTGGGAGCCAGTGGCTGTGCCCGAGGGCCAGCTAGCCGCACACCCCGTGGGGTGGCGTGTGTGGGGGTCTCTCTCGGGCATCACCACGAGCAGGGAGGCCTGAACGTCACAGTTCAGGTGCAGGGGTGGCCATGTCACCCACAGAAGTGCCAGCAGTCTCCGCACCCCATCACAGCTCTCGTGAGTATCTCGGGACGTCAGTCCTGAACCCCTCACTTCAGTGACCACTGTCCCCCGGCAAGACATTGGATGTAGCGCTTTGATAAAGAAGTAAACGTATTGCTTTATCAAAAAAGATTTCTCAACGTTAGATCAACCTGCCTTTCCATCCAATGGGTTTTCTCAGTAATCACACACATTTGCTGTCGGTCTGGGAAGGGTTCCGTGGGCAGCACTGCACAGAACAGGCTGGGAGCCCTCGGGAAGGCGAGTGAGGCAGAGACAGCGGGAGAGCTGAGGCCTATGGTGATGTGCCGCTCGCAGGGCCCGAGAGCCAGAGACAGGACCTTCCCTGGGGGACGTGCCTGGCATGCCAGCTGGCCTGCTCACTGGGCCACCACCTCCAGGGAGTGCCATCTGTCCCACACCCCGCCTGTCTCCTGCAGACAGCTCCCCGGGTCAGGCTACAGAAGGGACCCCCCTGACCAGTTACTGTCTCACCTCGACCTGTAACCCTACAGAGAAGACCTGGCCGGGACGCGAGGTGTTTGCAGAAAGGCCGCGGTGGGAAAGGGAAACAGGCCCAGGACCTATGCACACAACGTGTGTCCCTGAGGAGGAAAACGTCAGAAACGATTCAGGGAAAAGCACAATGATAATAATAACGATAATAATAATAATAATAATTCTAAATGGCATCGTTTTCAAAGAAATTTGAGAGAATGGAGAACCAGTGGGAAAAAAATCAGCTACTCAGATAAAAGAGAAAATGAGAAAGGAAAAAAAAAAAAAAGAAGAACTCATGGAAATTAATGTAACTAACCAATTTTAAGCTACGGAGGATGGACTGAAGGGTAACACAGGGTGTGGGAGATAGTCACGGACGTTTTCCCGAGTGGAGAGCAGGCGATGAGAAGGAAACAGTCAAATAAAAGAACACACTTCTGACCACTGCAGGGCCCACCGTGTTCTGAACAGATCTAACGGCCAGACCTAGACCCCGGGGTAGAGAACAGGCCTGCAGAATACAGGAATACCAACCACACGTCCGTTGTGTTCTCTGAACTCAGAAATAATTGGACTCCGGACATTCCGTGAGCAAGGCTGGCTCCTAGAAGACTCAGGGGCCGGGTCTTCAAGTTCTAATGGAAAAAGACGTGGCATCCAGAATTTTATACCTAGCTGTACTATCAGTAATACTATCAAGAAAGGTTATCCTCAGGGCACTCAAAGTTCAGTGCACCCTAGAATGACACTCCAGCAGAGGAAGGAATGACAAATCCGGGCATGGGGATATGGGGTAAAGGAATACTTAGCATCTCTGACTCTTTTTTTATCCTTTACATTTTTTTTCTTTATTGATTTTAGAGAGAGAGGAGGGAGAGGGCGAGAGAGACAGAAACATTAATGAGAGAGAACACAGATTGGCCGCCTCCTGCACGCCCCCCGCTGGGGATCAGGCCCACAACCTGGGCATGTGCCCTGATCGGGAATCGAACCAGCGACCTCTTGGTGCAGGGTCGATGCTCAACCACTGAGCCACACCGGCTGGGCGCATCTCTGACTTTTTAGCAGCGCAACGAGCTGTAAGAAGACACACCCAAGCCCATTAGGTCCTCTCACTTGAAGACTCCCCTTCAACTGGCAAAAGCTTCCCAATCAACTCACATCTCTTTCTGGCCGTGGACCCGATGTCCCTGGTAAACACCACCTTCTGCAGCCGCAGCAGAAACGCTACACATTGCGTCTCTAGTTTTAAAATGAAATGTGTAGACAAAGGTCAGAAAAAATATTTACAGTGGGAAAAAATATAACTCCTTCAACCTCAGTTATTTTTTCGAGGCATGGAAAACGGAGAGGCGGGGCGTCAGGGCAGAGAGAGGGCTTGCCGCCCGCCCAGGGCGCCGAGGGCCGGCACTGACCAGCGGCGGTGAGTCAGGAGTGGGACTCAGTGAGCCCCTGAAGTCGTCACGCCGGGTCAACACAAACCCAGGGACATTCTGGCACTAAGGACTAGGATGGGGGAGTGCACTGGGGAGAGGTTGGGGTGTGGGGGAGGCAGAATCTTGCTTTTCACCCCGAGGCTTCACCTGTCATGTGAGTTTTTAACGTGAGAGTCGT